TGGTGAAAAACTTAGAGACTTCAGGGAAAACCAGGGGAGTTGGCAGATATGACTTTCTGTTTTCAATAGTACTAGGGTACAAATTACAGCTCTCTAAACAACGGGTTCAAATTTCATGCTCTTAGAGGATGAATCTTCGTGCTCCCTGTTTTAGATTGTAATGAGAAATTTTGTTTTTCTTTACAGAAAAAGCCTAAATATGTATAAGTTTATGGAATTGTGGAAAATTTTCTCATAAAAGAACTATGTCAATCGAAATATAAAGCATGTAACCTGGCAAATTTCTCCTCCTTCGCCACTGTCTTGAAAATTCTGCATCCACAATGCATCACAATCCCAGTGCGCACACCGCCTGGTTATGAAGTGTGAATATTTATTCAGGTACGATAAGGATGTACAGCTGTGAGCTCATATTTATAAGGGCCTCTTGAATATACATACCTCCGATAAATTGACACTTTCTCCAGAAATTTTTATCAGCATCATAAATTCTATAATATTCTGATGTCCTCGCCAGGCAAAAACGATGTATTAACCCTATAAATCGATGGAGAGCGTTGTTATAGGCTAAGATCTAACGGTTGCGTTTTAGTTTCCCCCGCGATTTCAGTACCAACAGACAAATACGATATGCAAGAAAATATAACTTGTGTAAATAAGAATTGACATAAATTATTATTTTGCCGGGACAGAACGGAGGACTGGGTTCTAGTGTAGCACGCGAGGGATCGCGGTTAGGGGGTTTGATATAATGACCGTTTAGTTATGCGTGTCATTCTCCTCGGCGCGTCAACTTGCTTTGTTTAGTTTTGTTTTCACTTATTCTGTTAGCCTTAATTTCGTTACCATCTGTACTGGTCCCTATGTTTCTTAGCTACTTTATGTAGCGTCTCGTTTTCTGCTCGTATTCCTGTTATTAAAGGGACAGTGTCCTGATTATGCGCACGCGCGAGCGTCATCTGTTTTTTCTTCAAAAGACAATAGAACTGTCATATTGACTCGACAAGATTTCCTTCCGGACCGCACCGCCGACAGAGATTTGTTGTTTATATTCTCAAGTAATATTTTAGACCTTCAAAGAAGTCTTTCGTCTTATATAAAAATTTGGCTCGCGGTTCGAAGACTTATCGCGATTTTATCGCTAGCTGGGCCGCCACGCGACCCGAAAATCTCGTTCCGCTCGCTTTAAAATTTGAAACTCGTGTCAGAGGTCAGTTGTTCCAAGTCTACTAATATCTGCCTGAATTGCTCGCGTTCTAGCCTCAAACGTTTGAAAGGCATAAATAAAAATGCAATCTCAACGCTATGAATCATCAGAAAGGTTAGTCAAAAATTATATGATGATTTCATGGCACTAGTTTTTCTAAACATGTAGCGCCTGTTTGTTTGATTTTGTCGGCCGTTAGGGAGATTCATTTAAAAAAAGTTTACTAACTCGTCGTTGCAAAACATTCTGCTTTACGAAGCTCCCCTCCACAAGATCTCCTCAGTCACATCAATGTCTCAATGGTTTCTTTCTTACAGTCTCTATTGTTGCCGTTTCATTTCTGCGTATTCCTTTCACAATTATCCGAGCTTGTATGGAAGCTAGCAGAAGAAATAAGCCTTCAATCGGCATCAAAGTGCTTCCAATCTTTTGGTCCTCCGGCCAACGGCAATAAAAGTAACGCCCAAAAATCCAGATTTTGCCCAAATCGAAACTTAACAGGAACAATATATCATTGATCTGTAATCCTGAGAAGTTTTGGTGTCGTATTGAACCCGGTCAAGCGCGATGCAAACGGATTTTTCAAGGTTCTCTTACTCTCCTCGCATCTTTTGATTTCGCGACATCCTGTCCAAAAATCAAAGTTTGGTGCATGCGCAGTAACGGGATACTGTTCCTTTAATAAGCTTAGCTTTATTTTATTTGTTTTGCCTTATAACCCCAAAGGCGACACTTTAGCATGGGTTGGGGTCACCCGGTCCCTATTTTTCCAGTAGTTAGTTTTTTCGGGTTTACGTGTCCGGCTGTGGCGTGTTCTTAGAATTACCGTAACAGTGGAGTTTTTCACGTGAGTTAATAAAGTGTTTCTTGGGCCTGGCTGACCGACGCGTCAATGCCTCCAAGTGCTGTTTTGTGCGTTCGGTTGTGTAGTGGAGGCAAAACAACAAAAGTGCATGATATTATTTTTTTCACTTTTTTAATCATTTCCTCTGCTACAATGTATAAGAAAGCGTGATGCGAGGGCAAAATTGTTGTCCTGCCTGTTTGCCTATTGCTTTTTTTGCCGTTTTCGCTGCCGTCGTCCTCCTCTTTGTCCTCTAAGGACAACGTGGAGTGTAGCAAATCATGCTGTTATATTTGTGTGCCCAGTCCTCACACATCACGCTCTTCTTTTCTACGCTAAATCGGCAAACTAGCCACCACGTGCAATGATTCTCACGGACTTCAAAATCAAAAAGCATGTCGTGAGGATGGCAAGCAGGTGATCCATCAGGCTTTCGTGTGGGTAAGGGTTTATTCTTGCAAAATGGGAGTCCAGTAAGGTTCGTCCGACTAAGATCTCTTGCTGTGGATTGAAAAGGAAACAATTACCTTAACGTTTCTTTGAGAATAGACCTTTTTCAGCGTGGCGAAGGGGTTTTCCGTGACGCGTGATGGAACCCAAATTAGCCGCTTGAGGCGTGATTGGGCTTAGCAGCGTAATGTGTGATTTATCATTTTCACAACGCGTGACGGGCGATTTTCCTTTGAGATTTCAGTGATGGTTAATATTATTTGAAACTAGAAGCAGAGACATTAAAAATAGATAGTTATGACACAAACTTCTTGCCTTTTTTTCTCGTTCCTCGACCTCTGATTTCCTCAGACCAAATGATAATAGGATACTTGTTGTAGTTAATATTCTATTTTTCCGTGATGCGTGATAGCTTAAAAAAAAACGGCGTGATGCCTGATAGGTACCTCCCCCCTTCCTCTGCAACCCTACTTTTTAGTTTGCATGTTTTGTTTTCTCATTCCAGACCACATGATGGTACCCTAAAAAACTATGAGTGCTTACCACTTGTATAGAAAATTTAGTAATTCCAGGACGAATTCAAATGGAACAATTATTCCCGTTGGAAAAAAAACTAAAAAACTATGAGTGCTTACCACTTGTATAGAAAATTTAGTAATTCCAGGACGAATTCAAATGGAACAATTATTCCCGTTGGAATGTTTTCGGAAAAAAGTAATACCTTCCGAGGCAAAACCTTTTTCCCCTTTTGCCGGAACGACCAAAATTTTCTGTAGCATTTGTTTGGATTGCCAGTGCCAGGCTTTCTCTCGAGAGAAAGCGAAAAATTTACAGGTATTTTGTCTTTTGAAACCTAAGTATATAACGGTCAGTGTCTTTCTATTATTGTTAAGACTTCTAAGAATAGGAAAGTTTTGTTAACTATCAATTTAAGAGTTTAACGACAGGTATACCGATCACAAACGCTAACAGCGCCACTTATAGTCCTGTCAGGCCGCTAATTGGCATCATCGCCGGGGAGAGGTACTCCCTATAATGGGCTATACGGGGGAGGCTTCGCCCAAAACAGGTACCTTTTTAGGCTTAGTATGTCAAAGGGTAAGGAATTCACGAGTTGAAATATATAAAAGGGTAGGAATATTTTTTCCTTCCCTTTTTAGTATTTAAGCGCGCCGTATGGCGCCCCCGGGCATCATCGCTTGATGAAGAGCAGCAGTACGCCGTCGAAACGTCACGATCAAAGTAACTGACATATTGTTAGGTGATAGAAGAATTACTTTTCAAAGTCACCCTTCCACCTTACCAGTGATGACATCAGAAATGGTACGATGGATAAAGGGTTTAATTTTGGATCTATAGGGACACAGCAAACAGCATTATAAGTATCATTAAAGTTCATCCATGAGCGTTTCGTCCAATTCTATTATAGTTACCTAAGCGAGTCCGCCCTAAATGGGTCTTCTTTAGATCAGCAGCTAGATCCAAATCCATCTCTTGCAAACCAGTGCGCACACCGCCTGGTTATGAAGTGTGAATATTTATTCAGGTACGATAAGGATGTACAGCTGTGAGCTCATATTTATAAGGGCCTCTTGAATATACATACCTCCGATAAATTGACACTTTCTCCAGTAATTTTTATCAGCATCATAAATTCTATAATATTCTGATGTCCTCGCCAGGCAAAAACGATGTATTAACCCTACAAATCGATGGAGCGCGTTGTTATAGGCTAAGATCTAACGGTTGCGTTTTAGTTTCCCCCGCGATTTCAGTACCAACAGACAAATACGATATGCGAGAAAATATAACTTGTGTAAATTAGAATTGACATAAATTATTATTTTGCCGGGACAGAACGGAGGACTGGGTTCTAGTGTAGCACGCGAGGGATCGCGGTTAGGGGGTTTGATATAGTGACCGTTTAGTTATGCGTGTCATTCTCCTGGCCGCGTCAACTTGCTTTGTTTAGTTTAGTTTTCACTTATTCTGTTAGCCTTAATTTCGTTACCATCTGTACTGGTCCCTATGTTTCTTAGCTACTTTATGTAGCGTCTCGTTTTCTGCTCGTATTCCTGTTATTAATAAGCTTAGCTTTATTTTATTTGTTTTGCCTTATAACCCCAAAGGCGACATCATAGCATGGGTTGGGGTCACCCGGTCCCTATTTTTCCAGTAGTTAGTTTTTTCGGGTTTACGTGTCCGGCTGTGGCGTGTTCTTAGAATTACCGTAACAGTGGATTTTTTCACGTGAGTTAATAAAGTGTTTCTTGGGCCTGGCTGACGGACGCGTCAATGCCTCCAAGTGCCGTTTTGTGCGTTCGGTTGTGTAGTGGAGGCAAAATAACAAAAGTGCATGATATTATTTTTTTCACTTTTTTAATCATTTCCTCTGCTACAATGTATAAGAAAGCGTGATGCGAGGGCAAAATTGTTGTCCTGCCTGTTTGCCTATTGCTTTTTTGCCGTTTTCGCTGCCGTCGTTCTCCTCTTTGTCCTCTAAGGACAACGTGGAGTGTAGCAAATCATGCTGTTATATTTGTGTGCCCAGTCCTCACACATCACGCTCTTCTTTTCTACGCTAAATCGGCAAACTAGCCACCACGTGCAATGATTCTCACGGACTTCAAAATCAAAAAGCATGTCGTGAGGATGGCAAGCAGGTGATCCATCAGGCTTTCGTGTGGGTAAGGGTTTATTCTTGCAAAATGGGAGTCCAGTAAGGTTCGTCCGACTAAGATCTCTTGCTGTGGATTGAAAAGGAAACAATTACCTTAACGTTTCTTTGAGAATAGACCTTTTTCAGCGTGGCGAAGGGGTTTTCCGTGACGCGTGATGGAACCCAAATTAGCCGCTTGAGGCGTGATTGGGCTTAGCAGCGTAATGTGTGATTTATCATTTTCACAACGCGTAAACAGCATTATAAGTATCATTAAAGTTCATCCATGAGCGTTTCGTCCAATTCTATTATAGTTACCTAAGCGAGTCCGCCCTAAATGGGTCTTCTTTAGATCAGCAGCTAGATCCAAATCCATCTCTTGCAAGCGAAACATTGGGAAATGGCCGCAGAATTCCTGCACTTCTTTTCTCATGAAACGTTTTACCATCTGTTGCCCGATGGTCCAATACTTCCGAACAACTACGTTATTCTTCGATGGGGGAGTTTGAGGAACCTATAATTCAGAAATTCTGTCGATATATGACACAGGACAATGACCCTAATAGGTTTATATTAATTTTTTTAGCTTGAGTAGCATGACAGTTTTGGTTGGGCGCGCAAAGAAGCCAAGGTGGGCGAAGGTGGCCAAAGGCAGTGAAACTGCGAGGAGATTGGTGCCAGAGCAACGAGGTTTTTATTTTCCTTGCGGCTTCGCCGCTCGTCCGCGGACGCTTCGCGCGCTTTTGCGGTTAGCCGCCCGACAGCGCACCAGACAAAACCGCCATGCTTCGCCGGCTATAAATTTCTATCCTAAAATTTTCGCCCCATGTCAGAGGTAATCCAAGACAGTCTTGGATTCTGGGTTCTACTATGTGGATTCCGCCATTCTAGGTACTGGATTTCGGATATCTTCTCAATAGAAATCCCATTAGTTGAATTACGGATTCCGAAGCCCAGGATTCCGGATTCCACAAGTAAGATTTTCCCGGATTCCGGAATTGCCGGGTTACCTTACATCGTTACATAGGGCGAAAACTTTTCTCGTCCCTTTTCACCCCTAGTGCCACGCTAATAAACAAAACGAGAGAATACAGATGCCTTCTCCCTTTTCCTCAAAGTTTATATCTGCGTTTTTCTTCTCTTTATAGAAACTGTTAATTAATTTACTTTTTTAACCTGCCAGATGCGTACCATACCATGATTGGGCGTGAAGCCATTTTGGAGACGAATGTTAGAGTTTTTCCCGTTTTGTGCACAACACTTATACAGCGGCACAATATGAAACTGGCATGTACTGCAAACTCTTTCTCTTTCTGGCTTTCGCATTAATCGCTTTCTGTTTTCAGTTTAACATAAATGTCACGAGTCTTCTACCGGCAGGAATCTTTTGTGTAAAGAGCGGTCTCTTATTGCGGGAAAAAGAAGGGAAAAATTCAAAAGAACGGACTTTGACTATTCTTAAAAATTAGTACCATTTGTAATCCAGTTTTCAGCAGAGAGGGACTTGGCAAACTGTCAGGAAGTGGACTTAAATAACACTTGGCGTCACGTTTAATCCGCATAACGGTCAGTCGCTGATAAAGGAGAAAGATAAAGGAGTTAGTTTGTGTCTCAGCTTGGAAATTACCTTCCGTTACCCATAAACAAACAAAAACTTACATTTTTAAAATCGTATAGGAAGTCAGCATCAGTGAGTCCGTTGTGAGCCGGAACATGAAAGTACTCCAGTTTCTTGTCTTCGTCGATTTCGATTCCCTCTTCAAACTTTGTTCCTCTCTCCAAAATGTGAACTGAAAATGTTTTGGAGTCTTTGGACTCAACTATTTTCTCTTTTGCAACCTGTTGAAAAATATTATAATGAAATTATTAGAAATGTTGGCAAAATTAATAACTAAAACTGGTTCTCTTATTCATCATGCCAGTTAATCTACTTAAGGGATCTTACACCGGATCAGATATCATTTAGTTGGATGTAGGCAAAAACATAAACCCTAAAGAACAACCTCACTGCTAACTAATTCAAACATTTATGTACAAAGATGTACTTCGGTTCCTGACTCTTTATTTTAATGGCAACTAATAATTAGCAGTTGAAAATGTTTGACTTGATACTTTCTTACCACAAAAGCAGTTGCTCTTAAAGTGTAACACAGTAAGAAGAAGACCACGGTTGATGAAAATCCCTGAAAGTAAAATAAAACTCTCAAAGTATGTCATAAAAGTCTTTGAGAACCCGCTTCCCTCGAATTACTAGGACCAAAGGACATCGTTTGAAAAATCATAATGTCAGCACATCGTCATTATTTCCTCTAAGGTTTCATTTAATTTACCTTCATTTCTGAACTAAGTCGCAGCCAACTTGTCTCATTTTGCAACCGTTGGTAGTATTTTCTTCCGATATATTTTCACTGGTGGGCTTTTCTTTATTTTGTTCACGTTTAGAAGAAAACGCAGGAAAATCTGGCGAGTCAAAAGTTCTGAACAACAACAAACAACAGTTTGTTGTTGTTGTCGTTGTCGAGACGCTCCTTAACATCATTTTCCTTCAAGGCTCCTCTCTCAAACTTTGCTAAGACCAGTCTTAAGGACCTTTTAACTCCCGGCAATCAAAATGTTTTGGTGGAAGGTGTTCTGAGCTACACGTCCGTTCTCAAGATATTGATGCTCTGAACAACCATATTGACATGGCGGAAACCTGTGGTTTCAACACTTGAGACTGCTGATCTGCCGAGACAACAACGTCAGTAAGGCACATGCGGAACAGCTGGTCGAACACTCAGGCTAAACTCTTTATCATTCGTTTTAGCAACATTTTCGTCCGAATTCCCCAAGTTACTGAAAGCAAATTTATCAGCAATAGACTCGTTTCTAAAATTTTTCCTGGGACTTTCACGCGCTCCCTCCACTGGTTCCTTAACACACTCAAAGGGGCTCCCGCTCAGTATTGTTGAGAAACACGTTGCCATTGTTTACTGGCGCGTATCGATTCTTACTGTCGGCCATCTAACATACATACATACATACATACATACATACATACATACATACATACATACATACATACATACATACATACATACATACATACATACATACATACTTTTACCGTCTTCCCCTTTCCTTTTTTCAAAGCATTCGAATATATGTTTTGCTCTTAGTTTTTTAATTTTATTTTAGCACTCCGCTAGGGTGGTTTATTAGAAACATGAATATTTTGTTAGGTGACATTCTGCTTATTTTTATCCTATGTTCTTTTTCCAAATAATCTAGTAACGACCATCTTTTTTTCCTGGTAAGCAGGGCATATATTTAGAAAATAGTATTCGTCCTCCATTTTATTTTACAAATTGGGCAAATTCTTTCTGCAGGTTTCTTAAACGGTCTCCGATAATCATCAGTATGGGTTTAGAAAGAAAAATTCTACTTTTATGGCCATACTGGAACTTAATAATAAAATGTTTGATTCATTTGAGAAGAACGAATTCACAATTGGCATATTCATTGATCTAAAGAAGGCATTTGATGCCGTTAACCACTCCATCCTCTTAGATAAATAAAACTTCTATGGCATTCGAGGCACACTTCAACTGGATGCATCGCTATCTCCTCTCTCGCTCTTAATATGTTCAAATTGATTCCTGGAAATCTCCGCTGCTTCCAATTAAATGTGGTGTTTCTCAGGGTTCTGTGTTAGACCCACTTTTATTTCTGATATACATTAATGACATTTTTTCATCCTCTAATTATCTCTCATTTATCCTTTTTGCAGATGACACTAATATTTTCTTTCAACACAAAAATATCTCTGAACTAACTAAAATTGTGAACAATGAACTTTCTTTTGTGGCTAACTGGTTCAAAGCTAACAAGCTAACTTTGCATCCCGACAAGACTAAAATTTATTTTGTTTCACCCTGCAAGGAAGAAAATAAATCTTGATGGTCTTTCTATTAACATTGATAAGAACAGTATTAATAGAGTAGAACACACAAAATTGTTAGGTGTTATCATCAATCAAAACCTCTCATGGCAGGCTCATATAAAAGTCATTTCTTCCAAAATTGCCAAATCCACTGGGATTATTATCAAAACACGACAGTTTTTCCTTTCTAATACTCTTTGCACATTATACAACTCTTTAATTCTCCCATATCTTCAATACTGTTCTATTATTTGGGCATCCGCATACTCTTCTCATTTACAACCCCTTTTCCGTCTCCAGAAGAAAGCTTTAAGAATCATTACTCATTCTCCACCACGTGCACATACTTACTCGCTCTTTAACAAATTCAAAATACTCAACATATTTAATATTTACAAGTACCAAGTTTCTTGCTTTGTTTTCCTTCACATGCAGAAGCTCTTGCCCTCTCCTCTTTCATCCCTTTTCGTTTTTAATTCTGATTGTCATCAATATCTCACCAGGCAAAAAGACAACTTACGTCTTCATACTCACAAATATTCTTTTTCTCTTCGGGTACAGGGTCCTCAAATTTGGAATGACATTCCTCTCTCACTTCGTAATTCACTTACTCTTTCTAGTTATAAACATAACTGAGAGATTATTTTCAGTCATTATAAGTTTAAACTAAGTTGAACTCAATTTTTTTTTCTACCTTCAAACTCTTTTCTTTATTACTTTTTGCAAACTATCATTAATTGTTATGTTTATTTTGCTTTATATGCAGTAATAATTCTTATATGTTGTAATAGTTTGCCTTTTCTCTGTAAATCTTGTACTTATTAATTTTTATTCTCATTGTAACTTAGCAGCACATTGTAACTCTCTCACCTACGCCATATGAGCCTCTGGCTTTGGCATCTTATTATCGTTAACTTGTGCTTTGTATACTTATTTATCAGTTTATCAATCAATAACGTCTATGGCTAATTTGTGGTTGCTAAGTCGCAGTTTTGTTAGAGCTATCCAGTGTCGCGTATTGGTGAAGTAATCTTCACATTTGTAATTGTCTATCTTTTTGAATAACCGGTAGGTTCTCATTTTGTTGCTTTGGCTAGCATCTTTTCTGGTGTCGTTATTTATTTCACTTAGCCATCTTGTACTTCGACATCCTGAGGTCGTTGCCTGATCATATTTACGATTGTTATGTCCGCATAGTGTGCTTTCATCCAGAGCTCTCCTAATCCTATCTGTTCCAATAAGCTTTTGATTTTTTTTGCTCCAGAGAGCTTTATTTTCATTCTATTTAATGTTACTGTATGCTATTTGGGATAATTTGTTTTCATTTTTGGTTAAGGTTAACTAGAACTTAAAGTTCCTATATACATTGGGCTTCATTTCTCCTTGTTATTGCAATATTTATTAACTCCCAGCAACCACTTTAGGAATTTATTTTGAACTAATTCTGCTGGATCCTTGTTCAATTGTCCATTGCAATCAATTCCCTAAACTTTACCCGTATGAAAGAGTATGAGAGATATCAGTGCATCAAATAACTTCATCGTTAATTTTATATTTTCTCTGAAGTGGTTTCCCATCTCTTTTCGTAATTTATAGAGTGCGTTAAGTGCAACTTTCTTCAACTCTTTCCTAGCGAGATTAAAGTTTCCAAAAGGACTCATTATGAGTCCAATATATTTGTAGGATTTGACGTTTTCCATGCAGTTCATCAGCGCCGTATCTGAACAAGTAGTTGTGTAAAGACCTATCACAGTTATTAAAAATCATAAATTTACACTCAATTCGGCTTTAGCTGGCATTTTCACAGAAAGATTCCAGCTTATTAAGGATTATTTGAAGGCTTTTTGCTGATCTAGAGAAGATCACTAGATCGTCCCCATATAAGAGACAATATAAGAGGTTGGGCTTTGAACCCGTGGGGGGGAGGGTACTCCCTATGATGGCCTATGCGGGAAGGCTCCGCCCCAAAGGGATACCTTTTTTGGGCTTCAGGTATATTAAAGAGTAGGGAAATCTGTCCTTTGGGTCTGTAAAAAGGCCCAAAAGGGCTAACAGATGAATTTTATATCTTTAAAAAGTCGAGAAAACCTTTTTTGGTGTGATTGATTCCTATTTGAGAGACAGTGTATTCATATATGAAACTCTTGTCATACATCGATGAGCATTTGATATTCAGTGACCATAAATGAAGGATCTAATGACTCTCCTTCACTGCGTATACTAAGTTCAAGGCAGCATCGAATCGCTAAATTTAAAATGGCCAGTATTTACCAGTGTTTAAAGCTAAGAACAAAAATAAAATGAGAAAGGACAACCAACTGTATGAAATTAAAATTCGCGAGTTCAAAAAAGAGAAGAAAAGGATCAAAGATACAGATCAGTGGCGTGACTATGGTTCTTTATTTGACCTCGAAGGATTTCACACTATGTCTTCACCTTCTACACCTCAACTTGATTATAGTAAATTTAGAATTAATTGATATTTCTGTCTGGTTTTCCACCCATTCAACAACTTTGCCAGTGATTTTCTTCCCGCCTTGCTCGCACGTCTATAAGCCGTTTGCAGTACTGAAATCTTTTTTTTTAAAGAAGTTTAGAATACGGCAGTTAACAACGACATCGCTAACACCAGATTCTTCAAAAATTATTTTCACGACAGCGGCTGTGGCGGACTCGTAACCGATTTCTGCGTTTCAAAAGCGTTTGATTAACTCCATCCACCACTACTATTGAGTAAGCTCAACGCCTACGGCTTTGAGAGCAGTACAGTTCGGCTTCTGGAGAGTTATCTGTGTGACCTGCAGTTACCGGGTGAAGATTGGGGACCTTGTCATTCAAGACGGACTGTTAACTGAGGCTGTTCACAGGGATCCGCTCTAGGTCCCTTACTTTGGAATATATTCCAGAACGATTTGTA